TTCCACAAATGGTGCTGGAGCAATTGGATGCTGACATGCATAAAAATGAACCTCGATACTTTTTTTTTTTTAGAAAACAACATTTTCAGTGTTTTGACTGTGTACTCTGACAAGGGTATAGTTAGCAATTCTGAAACTACACGTTTACTAGGATTAAACAAATAAGTAAATATATTATAGATACTGAGAGCCAGGTTTCTCACTGTCAGAGAAAAAAGTTACAAATAAGTAAAGGTGGAAGGCTAAAATGAGTCTTGTGGTACTGGATTGGAGTCATAGGTATCAGTATAAACTCATGTTTATTTTAATATATATACAGATAGATAAAAAATAAAAACATGTGTGTATACATGGACTAGTGCTATAGTTTGAATGTTTGTCCCCTCCAAAGCTTATTTGAAATTTAATCCCCAACGTGGTATTTGAAACGTAGAGACTTTAAGAGGTGGTTGGATCATGAGGACTACACCCTCATGAATGGATTAACCAATCCATTCGTGGACTAATGGGGTAATGGTTTAATGGATTATCGAGGAGTAGATTGGGGCTTTATAAGGAGAGAAGAAAGCATGTGGAAGTGCTCTTGCTCAGTCCTTGCCATGTGATACTCTACATTGCCACAGGACTCCATAGAGAGTCCCCACCAAGAAGAAGCCCCTCACCAGATGTAACCCCTAGACCTTGGACTTCCCTGTCTCCAAAACTGTAAGTAATAAATTCTTCCTGCAATTTCTCAGATGGGAAAAGAAAAAAAGAAAGAAATTCCCTTTCTTTATAAGTTACCCAGTTTCAGGTATTCTGTTACAAGCAACAGAGAATGGACTAATACAGCTAGTATACATACACACAAGGGTACCTCAAAAAGTCTGTGAAACAATGGACTACTACTAAGCCATAAAAAAGAATAAAATTCTGCCATTTGCAGCAACATGGATGAGCCTGGAGAAAAATGTTAAGTGAAATAAACCAGACAGAGAAAGAGAAATACCACATGTCCTCACTCATAACTGGGAGGCAGGCAGGCAGGGAGGGAGGGAGGGAGGAAGGAAGGAAGGAAGGAGGAAGGAAAGAAAGAGACCACAGTATGTTGAACTTTCAGAAGGAGAGAACAAACCTAAGGATATTAGAGATGGCAGGGGAGCAGGAGGGGGGTTGGGGAGAGATTGGTTGGGTAAGGGGCATAAAGAATAATTACAATTTGTAATAATGAATATGCTAATAAAAAAAGGTTGTGAAAAAATAAAATTAATGGGCCAGCCTGTGGCTCACTTGGGAGAGTGCAGTGCTGATAACACCAAGGCCTCGGGTTCGAATCCCATATAGGGATGGCCGGTTTGCTCACTGGGTGAGCGTGGTGCTGACAACACCAAGCCAAGGGTTAAGATCCCCGTACCGGTCATCTTTAAAAAAATAAAATAAAATAAAAAAAATAAAATTAAAAGATAATACAAATCTTTCCATGAACTTTTTGAAGTACCCTTGTACGTTTCCTAGCTCTGTCCACCGAGCAGTCCTTGAAACAGTGACACCCCAGTAGCAATGAGCACACTAAGACCAGATCTTGGTCTCTAAATACCATTCTCTAATAAAAGAAACCAGGACTCCTTAGATAAATCGTTGATTCCAGGGCTGGGGCAGAAAAAAATACAAAATAAGCCTAGATCAGTTTGCAATATCAGAAAGTAAGGAGAGGGCTGGCCAGTCAGCTCAGTTGGTCAGAGTGCAGTGTTATAACACCAAGGTAAAGGGTTTAGATCCCCATACAGGCCAGGCACCAAAAAAAAAAAGAAAAAAAAAAATCAAGGAGTGCTAAAAAATGGAGGGAGAGTCTGTCAAAAACAGAGAGCTCACAATGACCAAAGCTGGAACACTTTGAGCAACAAAGTAAACAATGACAGTATTGGGTTATAAGCCAAATTAAAATAAATATGCCCGAGTCCATACATACATGATGATAATAGGGCACATTACCTCTGTAGTATTCTTCCCCAAAATTCATTACCTCAGTCTAACCATGAGAAAACATCAGACAAACCCAAATTGAGGAACAAATTTTGAAGTAAGAAACACTCTACAAAATAACTAGCTAGTATTCTTCAAAAGAACAGAAGTGTCAAAGTCAAGAAAAAGACTGAAGAACTGTCACAGATTGGAGGAGGCTGAGGAGACTGACAACCAAATACCACATGTAGTATCCTAGACTGGATACTACAGAAAGAAGGTAGTGGGAAAACTGGGGAAATCTGAATAAAGCTTGTTTAGTTAATAACATTACTCCAGGGCCGGCCCGTGGCTCACTCGGGAGAGTGCGGTGCTGATAACACCAAGGCCACGGGTTCGGATCCCATATAGGGATGACCGGTTTGCTCACTGGGTGAGCGTGGTGCTGACAACACCAAGTCAAGGGTTAAGATCCCCTTACCGGTCTTTTAAAAATAATAATAATAATAATAACATTATTCCAATGTTAATTTCTTGGTTTCTTAGTTTTAATAATTGTACCATGATTATGTAAGATGTTAACATTAGAGGAAATGAGGTGAAGGATATTTAGGAACCTCTGTACTATTTTTGTAACTTTTCTCCAAGTCTAAAATTATTTCAAAATAAAATGTTAAAAATAAAGTTGTGATTACCATGTTGAAGTCTCTTCTTTGATTGCAAGAAACAGAAATCCAATTAGAACGAAAGAGAGAAGGACAGAAAGACAGGAGAGAAGTAGAAAAGGAAGGAAGAAAGGCAGGAAATTAGTTATAGGAGGTGTATTAGTTTGGGTTCTCCAGAGAGACATAAACTATTGGTTTTATCTATACATATATAGATAGATACATGAAAGGGGATTTATTAGGGGAATTGACTTACGTGATTACAGCAGCTGAGAAGTCCCACAACAGGTCATCTGCAAGCTGGAGAGCCTGGGATGCTGGTAGCATGGCTCTCAGTCCAAGTCCAAAGGCCTCAGAACCAGAGAAGCCAATGGTATAACTTAGTCTGAGGACAAAAGTCTGAGAACCTGGGGGTTGGGTGCTGGTATATATAAGTCCTGGAGTCCAAAAGCCAGCAAGTCTTGAGTTCTGATGTCCAAGGCAGCAGTGTCTATCCAGCCCTCTGAAGAGACCAATTTGCCTCCTGTATTTGTTCTGTCCCGGACCCCAGCTGAGTGGATGGCGCCTACCCATTGAGGGCTGATCTTCCCCACCCAGCTCACTCAGACTCACATGCTAATCTCCTCTGGAAACACCCTCACAGACACACCCAAAATAATGTTTTACCAGTTTTCTAGGTATTCCTTGATCCAGTCAAGTTGACACCTAAAACTAACCATCACAGAAGGGTTGAACAAAAATAAGCCCTAGACCTTAGAAAGAAACATATCCAGGGTTGCCAATGGCACCAAACTTCCAGTTCTACCTTCTATGTCTTTACTTTTTCCTGCTTGATATCAGCCTCTGACCTCAAAACATCTTCTTTATGAATGGGAAAATTGGCTACCAATGGCTTATGAGTTTTACACCTTAAGCCAAGAGACTGATTGATCTCAAGACCCTGGGGCAGTGTTGTAACACCAGGTCAAGGGTTCAGATCCCCATACTGACCAGCACCTAAACAAAACAAAACAAAAAGGCCCTGGGTACTCCTGATATTTTGAAATACAGTATATACACATATTTGTTCGACTGTCTTTTCATATACTAATGAGTTGGCTGATCGCTGGCAGCCCCTGGGTAGCTTCAGTTTCTTTGGTTTTGTTTTGTTTTGGGTTTTCTTTTGGCTTGTTTTGCTTTGGCAGCTGGCCAGTACAGGGATTGGACCCTGGACTTTGGTGTCAGGACCATGCTCTAACCAACCGAGTTAACCAACCAGCCCTCCGCAGGGGTAGTAGTATTATAATTACCATTTAACAGATGAGGAAAGTGAAACACAGAGAGACTTAGTAACATAATTAGAGGGCCCTCACTCATGCAATTAGTGGCTGAAAGTGAGCCGAAATGCCGGTTATCAATCTAGCTTTACTAAAGGAAAAGAACCTGCCGGCCTGCGCTCAAAATGGAGGACAGCACCAGGTGCAGGGGTAGGAGAGCTCATATAGACTGTAAGGAAGGCTGACATAATCCGGGAGGAGTTTGATGCTGGTGTGGAGGAGTTTCTATTTCTTTGAAACCGCGAGGTTTCTCATAAGGGAAAGGCTGGTGGCCTTTTTGTGCTGAGTGTGTGTAGAATGGCGCCGGTCACGTCCAGAACCTCAGTGGCTTGCACAGATAATAGGAAAACTCATTGCCGTTCCCTTTCATAATACACTTTTCGCACAATGACGAAATTGCCTGACACATTTCCCAGAATGTATCCCTGTCGTTATTGACTCAATAAACCCTATGCTTTGTATTTGGCTCAGTTTCCTTTAGGTCAACACAGCCAAAGGAGAACAGAGACTGAGAGGAGTAGAGGCCCGGGTTCTAGTCTCACCTCTGCCACTCCACAGCCCTGCGATCCCAGGCTCTTGCTTCAATTTCCTCCCTGATATCTCGAGGGATGCCCAAGAGACAGATCTCTTGGGTTCAAAGGCAGCCTGCACCAGTGCACTACGGTGCGACACTGGACAGGTTACTTAACTCCTGGGTCTCCGTTCTCCCTTCTGCTAGGTGGTTTGTAGGGGTAACCGAGAAAAGCTGTGGGATAACCCCGGGCACCCAGGAAGTGCTTGGTAGATGCTAGCAAATATCGTCCTCCCCGAACACAGCTTTTTGCTCCACACCGCACCTGGCAGAGACAGCGGGAGGTCTCTACGCGTCGCCCGTGCCCCCAACTCCGCCGCTGGGTCGCGGGCAGCCTGTCGCGACTGCGGCGGTGCATTGTGGGGCCTGTAGTGCGGGGCTGGGGCTGGGTGGGTGGGCGCGGCCGCCGCAGTCTCAGCGGGGCCATCTTCGGCGGGCGGACTGGCTCATCTTCGGCGGGCGGACTGGCTCAGCCTGCGCAGCCCGCACCCGCGCCCCTCACCCGGCCCAATGGCGCCGCGGCCGCTGGGCCCCTTAGTGCTGGCGCTGGGCGGCGCCGCGGCCGTTCTCGGCTCGGTGCTCTTCATCCTCTGGAAGGCCTACTTCGGACGCGGACGGGAGCGACGCTGGGACCGGGGCGAAGCCTGGTGGGGCGCGGAGCCTGCCCGCCTCCCCGAGTGGGACGAGTGGGACGTGAGTGCGGGGCCGGGGCCGTGGAAGGGTGGGTAGGCCGAGGCCTGTGCTTCCGCACGTGTGGCCGAGGGGTGTGACCGCGGTCCTGCGAACGCCAGAAGCGCTGGGGTTGGGGGCTTGGCCGCCGCAGCCCGCAGGCCCCGCGCGGGTGGGCACGCGGCGGGCAGCCAGGCAGTCGTGGAGTCCGAAAACCGAAGAGTGGGTGTGCGTGCTTGGGTGTGTGTGGCGCGGCCGTGCGACAGCACTCGGGCTTCCCTGCCGGCGCCGCAGATCGACTCGAGTGCGTGTCCTGGGAGCACCGCGGGGCCCGTGCCGGCTCGGCTCGCGCCCGCTCTGCGCCTGCGCGGTGGCGCCGCGCCGGGGATGCCGGGAGCAGCCCTCCGCCCCCTCCCGGGGCGGTAGCGAGTGAGGCGTCTCCCAGACGCGGCCGTTCCAGTGGTCCTGGGACGTGGGGGTTTTAGTCTGAGGAATCTGAGGCTCCGCGAGGGGAAGGAATTTGCCGAGGCTACTTAGGGAAAACGAGAGCGGAGTTTGGAATTCAGGACTCCAAAGGCAGAGCTCGTCCCACTCCTCCAAACCATGCCTGCCTGTCCCTGGACGGGTGGAGGGCGGGGATGTGCACTTCGGTGCTTTCGGTCTTCCCTCGGGAAGGGCCAGGCGGGAGGTGGCCGACCGCAGCCTGACCTCTGCTCCTCAGCCCGAGGACGAGGAGGACGAGGAGCCGGCGCTGGAGGAGCTGGAGCAGCGCGAGGTGCTGGTGCTGGGGCTGGATGGCTCGGGGAAGAGCACGTTCCTGCGCGTGCTGTCGGGGAAGCCACCGCTGGAGGGCCACATCCCCACCTGGGGTTTCAACTCCGTGCGGCTGCCCACCAGGAACTTCGAAGTGGACCTGCTAGAGAGTGAGCAGATACCCCCACCCTATTTTCCTATCACGTCTGCTGGACCAGGCCTGGATTCTTTGGGGGTTTGGGGGGAGGATAAGGGGCTCCAAGATGTGTATCTAAGCAGTACAGTCCCCTCTATGAAGTCCTTGCCACGTTTACCGGAGGCACAGGATATAGTCCAAGCTCTTATTCTGGCATTTAGGACCTTTCATGATCGGGTCTCTTAAACTGGGTCACCTGCCCCTCACCCCTACTGAAGATACTAACAGCTAATGGTTTCCTATGCCAAGCACTTGACAGGCATTGCTTAATAAAATCCTCCCAACAACTCCATACAACTAGAATCGTCAACTGCCCTCATTATATACGTTAGGAAACGGAGGCGCCACAAGTTAAATCATTTATCCAGGTCACACACCTTTACAGTCTTCTGTCTGGCTCTAGGCACATACCATAGTACATTGCTTTTTTTTTAAGCACCATGCTACATTGCTTTTTTCTGAAGGGTTCTTGCTAGTCTCTTTTATCTCCTGTCCTGTCCTTCACATGCACTATTCCCTCAGTCTGGAAAGCCATTCTTCCCTTGAGAAGCTGCTACTCATCCTTCAAGATTTAGTTCAAATGTGACATCCCTGTAAAGACTTCCCTGACTCCCAGACTAGGTTAAGGACTCCTCTGGGCTCCCTTCTGCTGCAGTATTTGCCACATACCAGACTGTGTCCCTGACTAGGCCACAGGCACCTTGGGCATAGATAGATCTGATCCATCTCTGACCCTGAGGGCTCAGTGCTGTTGGGCAAGTGATCAGAGAGGGTCTGAGGAGGCCCCTGCCCTCAGTCCCAAGCTTCTTGGGATTTTAGAAGAGGATGGCAGAGAGGGTTCTGGGAGGGCAGCAGTGTCTAGCCATGGGCGGGAAGGGACAGGTGGACTTCCTGCCAGCCAAAAGACCCGAACCATAAAGACTAGGTGGATTTAGTTAAGTGCTAGGTGGTAGGATCAGACTCTGAGGGCCTGAGTGGGCTCAGTTCCTCTGGTCTCTAGCACTTGCCTGCTGGCCTGGCCATGTCTTTCCTCCCTGATTGTAGCAAACATTGATATTCACCTAGAATTGTGGTCCTTTCAACAAGCTTTCTCCAGTTCCTCCTCTTGTGCCAGGGCCACAGGTCAAGAGGGAGCTCTGCACTTGAGGCCTTTTCCATCTGGCAGAGACAATATCTCTTCCTCCAATCCTGGGAGAAGGGGGTGGGTATTTTTGTGTTACTTGGGGGGGTGATAGGTAAATATCCTCAATAGGGTCACTCAGCCTGGATTCAAACCCAGATCTCCCAATCAAGTCCTGGGGCTTTCCTCTCCCACAGCAGTGGCTTCACTGCATTCCCCTACAGCTCCTGGCCTGGGGCCCAACAGAGAATGGGCCCTTTGTGGATAATTGATGACCGAATAAATGAATTTGACACTTTGATGACTGTTCCCTTCCCCCACCTCCTAAATCCAGTTATTTTCTGAGTCCGTCAACTGTATCCTCCAATAGATTCTGTTTCCAGCCCTTTGTGGATAATTGATGACCGAATAAATGAATTTGACACTTTGATGACTGTTCCCTTCTCCCACCTCCTAAATCCAGTTATTTTCTGAGTCCGTCAACTGTATCCTCCAATAGATTCTGTTTCCATCCACTTCCCACCTCCACTACTGCCTGCCTGGTCCAAGCCAGTGTCATCTTTCCTCTTGTTACTACAACAACCTCCTCACTGGTCTTCCTGCTTCCATCTCTATCTTCAGCGTCAGCCAGAGGTATCTTTCAGAAACCCATGTCAGAACATGTTACTCTTGCTTAAAACCCTTAAGGGGCTCCCCATAGCCTCATTGTGGCCTAAATGGTTCTTTGTGGTCCACCCCTGGCCAGCCTCACCAGTCTGTCTTCTTCCTCTCCCTCTAGTGGTATCTCAGCTGCCCTGGCCTTCTTTCTGTTCCTCAGACACATCGAGCTGCCCTTCCCTCTGCCTATAATGTTTTTCTCTGCCTCTTCCCATGGCTAGCTCCTTCTCATCATCCCAGACAGCTCACATGCCATCTTCTTGGGGAGACCTCACCAGATCACTCGGTTCAAGGTAACCCCCAACCCACCCCACCACCCCTCCTAGCCACTTTACCCTTTTCTGTTTTATTTCCTTACTTTCTGAAATGTGTTTATGTTATTGCTATGTCCATCCTGGTTAGGGAGGGAGTTCCTTGAAACCAGGACCCCTGACTGCCTTGCTCACCTCTGTATCCCCAGCACCTAGAGCAGTGCTTGGCACCTAATAAGCACTCAGTAAGTACTTGTTGAGTGCCTGCTATGTGCCAGGCATTGTGCTAAGGGCTTTGGGTGGATCCAGAGGTAAGTGCCTCTAACTCTCACAGCTTAGAGTCCACAAGTATCAGAGCATATCCAGAAACACTAGGATGCAGGGTGACCAATGGGGACTGTGCAGAAGGGCAGAGAGGAACCAGGTTGGGGGCACTATATGGGCAACCATGTGTTGGTAGGATTGACTATGGTGTTTCTAAGGGAAGAGAATGGGATGATAAGACTGAACGGGAGAAACCGAGTGGAGAATGGCTGTGTATAGGCATTCCTGACTTTTCTAGACATTGGGACTCCTGGCTTCTGATCACAGCTATTACTGATGGGAAGAAGCTAGGAATTGACAAGAGGCAAGGACGTAGACTAGGAGAGAGGACTGAAGAGTATCATTTATTGAGCACATATGTGCCAGTCCTATGAAGGGTGCACTGCATATGGTACCTTTGAGTTTTACTGCAAGATGTTCAGTGAGGAGGAGACTTAAAGGGAGCGACTTGCCCTGAGAGACCCAGCTGTCAGAGCTATAGCTAAACGCTGGTCTCATTAGCTCTTTTCCTTGCCCCTGGCTGGTGGAGTTTTGGGAAGCTGGAAGTGGAATGGGGTTGGGGATATGGCTAGAGAGCCAGGGCCCAGGAACAATCTGAGTTAGCCCCTGGCTTCTCCTCAGTCGGTGGCAGCCAGAACCTACGCTTCTACTGGAAGGAGTTTGTGAATGAGGTGGATGTGCTGGTGTTTATGGTGGACTCGGCTGACAGGCTACGGATGCCATGGGCCCGACAGGAGCTTCACAAGCTGCTGGACAAGGACCCTGACCTGCCTGTCGTCGTGGTGGCCAACAAGCAGGTGAGGGCCTTGTGAGCGTGGCTCAGGCTATTTGGACTTCTTCCCACAGATGCCTGGGCAGGGGCAGGGAGTGCAGGGTGACTTGGGCCTGGGCCCATGGCCTGGAGAGCTTGGCTGAGATATTCTCCGCCACCTCTTCTACCTATGCTCTTTCCTTGCCCCTTCCTTTGTCTTCCTGCTTCTTTGCCTCCTTATCATCTGTCGTCTGGAGAGATGAGAATTATTATTAAGTACCTACTATATGCCAGGCATGGTTCCGAATGACATTTTTTATTTGGCTTTCATTGATCCTACAAGGTATGGGATACTATTCCCATTTTACAGATGGAGAATCTGAAGCTCAGAGAGTTTTTGTGATCTTCCCAAGGTTGTACTCCTTGGGAGTAGTGTAATTGGGATGTCTAACTCCAAAGCCTACACCTTTTCCATTCTGCTCTGCCCTTGCAACTTCTGGCTGTACATCAGAGATCTAAAGCTGGGAAGTACTAAGAAGTAGAACAGGTTAAATAATAACAACTATCATTTATCGTGTGCTTACAGTATGCCAGACAGTGCTAAACACTTGACAATCATGACTTCACTTACTACTACAAAAAACCCACTATAGGCCTTGCTGTTATCCCTAAATGCCTGAAGTTATGGCTAGTATGTGGCAAAGCCAATACTTGAACTCAAAGTTCCTGCTCTTAGCCACTGTGCTATCCCTTTCCTGGATGCCAGAGAGCTGCTCTGGGCCCAGCAGCCCTCAACATCACAGACTTAGGTGCCATTCTCAATACCATGTGAAACTGCCACAGTACAGAGCCCTGTCATATTTCCTATGGTCTATCCCTATGCGTCTCCGAGAGCTGTGGAACATGTTTCCAACCTGGCTTAAATAGAAGCTGTACGTCTTTGATCTCATATTCCCCCTGCATATCAGGAAATACTTGACAGTCATTTATAAATAGGGTGACCATATGTCCTGGTCTGCCTAGGAAAGTCCCCATTTATACCTGTTGTTCTGGCATATCTATTTTAATTTTTATTTATTTATTTTACTTTTTTATTTGGTGGCTAGCCAGTAGAAGGATCTGAACCCTCGATCCTGGTGTTATCAGCACCACACTGTAACTGAGTGAGCTAACTGGCCAGCCCAAGGTATAACTATTAATAGTGTCCATTTTGAGCCTTAGAAGTACCTTGGACAATGAATTCTATCATCATCCTATTTATAAACTAATGTATAGCAGTTTTGAACTTACAAGGGACAACATCTAAGATCCTTGCATTCTATGATTGCTCCAAGAATTATTTTAACCTTGGGCCAGTGTTGAAATTAAAATGTACCACCACCAGCCATGCTGTGTAGTGGCCTCTTTTCTTCCTCCAGCTAGTTTCTAGGGGTCTTGTCTGGAAGTAACTACTGTAACATCTTTTCACTATTGAGTTTAGGAAACTGAGCTGGGATTCCTATAAGGGTCAAAAGGGTGGGAGTATATTGGCAGACACTGTCAACTGTCTTCTGACCAGCTTCTGTTTTACCCCAGGACCTGAGTGAAGCCATGAGCATGGTGGAGCTGCAGCAGGAGCTGGGCCTGCAGGCTATCAATAGCCAGCGGGAGATTTTCCTCTTGGCGGCCAGCATTGCCCCTGCCGGACCTGGTTTTGAAGATCCTGGCACCGTGCACATCTGGAAACTGCTCTTGGAGCTTCTCTCCTAGGCTTGCTGCCCAGCCCTGGGGACTACAGCTCTGCTGCTGCTCCTACTTCTTCATTGCCAGCCTGCACCTGGGGCAGGAGCCATGTGTCAGCACTTCCCTTCTCCCATCCTTGCCCTCTCAAGAGCAGAGCCCAGGAAAGGCCAAGAACTGTGCAGAAGCCTTCCTGGTGAAGTGGCCGTGAAGCCGAAGCAGGGAGGTGGGTGAGGCAGGGAGTGGAAGAGAATAGTGTCTGGCTCATTCCAGCCTGGAATGTGGATCCAGCTTTCCCTTGTCTTACCTGTACAGTGAGATGCTCAGTGGGCTCAGTCCTCTCCTCCCTGCAGGTCCCAGTGGTTTAAGAACCAGTGTGGGTACCAGAAGTACTCCTGGAGCCACAAGGTCTCCCAGTCTAGTCTGTTCCCTCCTGGTGACTTTATGCCCTTCTCATGTGGGCAGGTTCTGGGCAGTATGAAGTGAGCCCTTGCTCCCAGTCATGCATTTTACTCCAGCCCAAGCTCTGCCTAACTGGTTTGTGGCCTTGTGCAATCTCTGCCTCTCGGGTCCCAGTGTCATTTTTAAAGGGAGGTGGTTTCTGTGATTTTTTTTTTAAACTTGGAAATACGAAGTGCTAGGATGAACGTGGATATCCTAGCAAGGAGCTTTCTGAAGACCTCTCTACTTCCTCCCAAGCCAAGGGCTGGCCTGCTAACCTCTCTTGACTTCAGTTTAAGTGGTATTCACACACCAAACAGAAAAAGTGAAGGCTATTTTCCCCCCTAATCGGGAGACAAGCTGCTGCTCTGTACTAAGTGTGCCAATGCTTGTGTTTACATAAGTCTGGGGAAGGAAGGAGCCTGTGTCCGTGGGAAGAAGACTGTCAGCTGGAGCTGGGCATTGGCCTTGGAAGTTCATCTTATTTATTTATTTATTTATTTATTTATTTATAAAAGGAACAGGCCAAAATTCTAGGCTCTGTTTCTAGGTGCTTTTATCAAAACCTCAGATTGTCCTAGAAAAATTGGAACTTTGAGGAAAATAGCTAGAATTATGAATGACAATGAGATAACCTACAGGTGTTATTGGAAACAAACTGTAGCCTTCCCCCCACCACCCCTGGCCTCTGGGGCTATATTTGATGTCATAATACTTCACATTGCTTTATATTAATTTAAACTCCATCATTTTGCCAGGTATCTTGAAAGGTTGCACACCCCTTCTGGGTAGATAATAAATGACTCTGAGAGAAGAAATTTCCATCATATGAAACCAGGTAAAAAGATGAGGAAATTTTTTCATCATGTGAATCCAAAGGACAGGAAGAGCAGACCAGCCAACAGAGTGGCCTTAGTCATATCACTAAGCCTTTCTGGACCCGTTTATTCCCCAGCAAAAGCAAAGTTAGACTGAATTTCAGGTGTTCTCTCCAGTGCACATTCCATAATTCTCTTGTGCTCCATGATCAGCCAGTTTAAGGATGATCTCTGTATTGACATTTCTTGTTGGTGCAGACAAAGAAGAAATGTGATGTGTCAGGCCACTGAGTAATCAACAGCCACAAATGGACTTTTTTTTAGAGGAACTATCAAAGTCAGTTCGCTTTCTAATTGAGAGTAGAGATAGTGTGCCTTTGTTTCATTTGACATTTACCCAGCATGCTACAGTTCCATGTTAAGTGCAGTGCAAGAAGAGGCACGCAGAGGGATGGTGGGTTGGAAGCTTCAAAGTCCAGAAGTGAGTGTGATCATTAGGAGAGTGGCCCACTGTGCCCCTGGGCTATGGGTACATCAGAATAGAATCGCTGTTCTTTGAAATGCTGATTCACTTTCTACAGTAAGAAGTGATTTATCTGCTTTTATATTTAAGAAATGGCTTGGGTTTTAGAGTAGCCTTTGAAACTTTGCTGGGAACTTTTCATTTTGTCATTAGAAGAGAGAAACTTATTTGTTCTATGAACTCCCCCTTTTCTCCAGTGCTTGAAGGTGTTAAAAGAAAAACCTTAGACAAGCTAACTTTAACAGTTTATTTGAGCAGGAAAAAGGTTCATGAACTGGGTAGCACTCAGGACCAAAAGTAGTTTGGAATGCTCAGTCACACAAATGTATTTACAGTGCAGGCTGTATCAGTAGCCATAGAAATGGAAATGACATACAGAGTTAGCCCGACTGGCTGCAGTCTGGCCTTATGTGGACATGTTTTGACAGCCTTCAGGCTATGATTGGCTGAGACTAGGACACTTGTTACAAGAGTGCACTCTTAGGTTGCAGGTTGTTTACACATTAAGTTAGGTTACAGTTCATTATGAAGTGAGGCAACTTTAAGCCAATTATTTTTTTTTTTCTGTTAAATTTTTTTTTTTTTTTTTTTTTTTTTTTTTTTTTTCC